GAATTTTCCTTCGCAGACTGATAAATGCTATGAACTTGCTCAGGCACAGTTCCCATAAACTAAGGCTAGGCAAAGAAATATCTCCGGATATTCACTGGTGGCATTAATTCATGAGGACCTTACTCACTAGATCAAGTCCCAGTAACAGCAGTTTATACAGATGCTTGCTCTACAGGAGCAGGTGGTCACTGGGGAGATAGTTGGTTTTATTTTGACTGGGGGGTGGATTGCCCAAACGCCCTCAACATGCATATCAATGAGAGAGGTCCTAGCAGTGACCTTTGCTGCACGCTACTTGGCCCCGCACTGGGCGAACAAACGCATTTTGATTTTCTCCGACAACTCTTTCACTGTATCATGTCTAAATAAGGGCACATCTCGCAATAGGACTGTTATGCATTCCTACATGTTTTGGCTTTCAGCCACATACGATTTTCATGTTACAGCCAAACACATTAAGGGCAAACACAACAACTGGGCAATATAATCTCACGTTTACATGATTTTCATCATTTTTTACATATATAAACATGCTTCCAAAACCTATTTTTATATCAGACCTACTGCACAATATGTCACCTCAAACACTTTCATTTCTTTTATTCAGGCACCTTGGACATGCATCAACCCACCAACCTAGATGCTAGGGTGGCACACCTGAGAACTAATGCCTTAGCTAGGTCCGCACGTCGTACTTACCTGACTTACATTCAGACTTACTTGAAATTCTGTTCAGATCAGGGTATCCTTCCAGTATCTATATCACACATAAACCTAGGTCGTTACATAGCTCATCTGTCAGTTAAACTGGCATGCACATCTCTTAGGAATTACTTAACAGCTGTGAGACTCTTACACCTAGAGGCAGGGAAGCCCAATTAACCCTTAGATTGTTATTATATCTCTAATATCTTAAAGAGGCCCGTAGAGTGATGGGGGACAATACAAAGCCAAAAATGCCAATTTCCATTGACTTGCAAAGGAAAATTTTTTCCTGTATAGATCTGTCCTCATCTAGGGATATTTGTTTTTGGGCTGCTCGTCTTGTTACTTTTTTCTCCTTTTTTTCGCAAATCCAACCTTAGCTCCTTCTCGGAAGGAGTTTGATCCTAGGAAACATTTGGGACTTTCAAATATTTCATTCAGTGCTACAGGGGTTATTTTGTCATTGGCCTGGTCAAAAACTATTCAGTATCAGCATCAGCAAAGACTTTTACAAGTGCCACTTCCACGCATTCCAAATTCACCCTTTTGTCCTAGCACAGTCCTCATGTTGTTATTCAACCTCACCCCTTACTCCAGTTTGGCTATTCCAGCCTTTGTGTATAAGTCAAATCTAGGGCTACGGATACTAACTTATGAAGAATATATCTCCCGTCTTAGGCAGTGCCTAGCCTCTCTAGGTCTGCTCCCAATAGTTACTCCGCACACAGTTTTAGGAGAGATGGTGCCTCATTTGCTCTTGAATATGGGTTACCACCTGATCTTATTCAGTCTCAAGGGGATTGGCTTCGTGAGGCCTACAAAACATATTTAGACTCCTCTTTAGCTTACAGACAGGAAGTTGCTGCTAATTTAGGTTCAGCTGTTAGCACATTAAGCTGAATTTGCATGTTTTGTCTTATATTTTTCTACAAATGTAGCAGTGAAAGTAGAACCCGAGCAGCCCCATGAAAACGTTCAAGGAACCCAAGATCAGGATCCTGGGGCCCGTTTTACGAAAGAACTTACGACTAAGACCAAAATTTAATTCTGCTTCTTGCTTTCTAATTTGCATTGCTTTGAAAATGCTTTTAGTTTTTTAAAAAAAAGAGTTTGACAAGATATTTTTATGCTAGGAATTTCAAACATAATAAATAATTTTGCAAAATTTTACACTCAACTAAAGTTTTGGACTTATTCGTAAGTTCTTTTGTAAAACGGGCCCCAGAAATCCTTCCAAGCCCCACCGCTAGTGGTGGCCCACCTAATTCTGAGGAAACATTTATTAGAGCTGTTCTGAACCAGATAAAAAGTCAATAGACCACCATATCATCCACTCCACTTTCCGCTGAAGTAACAGACACTTCTCCAGAGATTCAAGGTGGGTATTCTTGGCAAGATCCCCAGGTTCATATTAAGTCTCTAAATGTCAGCAGCACTCATAGTTCTCACTTAGACGTTGTTGATTTTGTTAATATGTGTGTGTGTGTGGTGGGGGGGGGGGTCTCATCCGACTGAGAAGATTGTTACAGACAGTTCTAGTTTTCAGTTAGTTTGCCGCAATGGCCCTAACAAGCCAAAACTTGAAAATATATCTTTAAGTCAGTGGTCAACTGCTAATCTTGCTGTTTTGCATAAATTGGTTGAAGATGGTATTCTTCCTCAGAAGCAGATATTTGATTATTTTTCCCATACATCTAGAATATACCGCCTTGTTTCATCTCATGACTTAGTATCTATGTTTTTATATGATAGAGAGTATAGGCGTCTCCATCATTGCATAAATTTAGATGGGGCACTTCTGTCGATCATTAAAGCTGTCGAATTTCTGCGTCTGAGAAATCATGTTTCATTAATGTCTCAGTCGGGTGTTACAAACCCCAAAACAAGTGTATTTAAGAATGCTGATAACAAACCAAATGCAAACAATTTAGCATCCCACAATGCTATGAAATCTGTAGACGTTACAATTCTAAGATAAGGTACACAACCTTTCCAATACTAACACATTCAACTTATGTCAATGTTTGAATGTTTTACGTGTTAAGAGTTTATCAACATGTCATTGAAAGTTCAAACGATAAATGCTTGAGTTTCTGATTCACAAAATCTATTTAGTTTTTAGAGATCAAGTCTTCCAACAATCTGTCGGAATACCCATAAATACCAATTGCGCCCCTTTATTAGCAGACCTATCTTTATATTCATATGAAACAGAATTTATTCAGAAACTTATACATGAGAAGAAGAAAACACTTGATGTGGCCTTCAACTCGACATTTAGATATTATCAATTAATAGTTACTTCCATTCGTATATCGACTCGATATATCCCAGTGAACTTGAAATAAAAAATGCCACGAGGCAAGCTGTTGACAAACAAGTTGATGAAACAAGGATCTCAACAGTCTCTTTTGAAGTCAACGATTTGCAAGTTCTAGGGTCGATATAATGACCTTGTCGGCAAATACAATCTATCATTAAGTCGAATGCTGACTGACGTTTTCATACTAATTGTTAGGCCATTTCTTACACAATAAATTGTCTACGGATATTTCCATTTGCCCGATCTTGAAAAGGAGCATACGGCGAGTGTGACCGGTCGACAGGGGGTGCTCACTCCTCCATGGCACCTGATGCTTTTAGAGGTCTGTGTTTGCTCTGCTTCCGATTTGTATTGTTTTAATGGACTTTTGAGCTTGATTACTGTTCGTTATCTCCATATTTCATGTTGCGACGTGCTACCCAAATAAATCCAGAAACGTGTAAAACTTTCCTTTCAATTTAGACCGAGCGCAGAAAATGATTTTGTGGAAATTCTCAGTTAACTTTCTGAAAAACTGAGCTATTGAAAAGAAAATGATTTGCCAAATGATTCTTTATTCTATACTTTTAAAAATAAAACATGAGGAATTTAACAATAAAATGCTTCTTATATTTGTTAATATGTGAATGAACGGTTGCAACCAGAAAAAAATGCACAAACCCGAAATGTTTTTTTTTTCAGTGGTTGCAAGTGTTAATCCTTGTATTAACAAAGAAAGAAAGACATTTTATTATTTATTGTTTATATTTATATCTGTATAAATTATTTGTACAAAGTGGTGTAAGTACGTAAAATCTGTATCACTGATCCGTACTTTGATGGAAGAGTTCACTTCTTATGAAATCTTTCGCATTGCACATTGAAGTGGTGAATTTTTTCGATTGCATGGAACGTTTGGGTCTTCTTATCGAACGTAGTACGTACTATCAGAGACATATAACAGAGGGTATAAACCGAGGCCCCGTGTCGCAGTAGGTGCTGGCACGAAAAAGATCCCTCACTGCCCAATGGCCCTAAGTGCCGAGCATAGGACTAAATTTGCAGCCCTCCACCGGCAAGTGGTGACGTCTCCATATGAGTGAAAAATTCTCGAGAGGGACGTTAAACAACATAAACACAGGGTAAACACGTGTTCGATCGATACACGTGTTGTGAAAACTTCAATAGACATGACAAATACACACATATAATTATGTACATTTGTTGCAGTATGTGAATTTAACAGAAGCGGGTCTTTTCAGCATTACTGGCATTGCTAGTCTCAGAGAGTGGGGTGGGGTGTCTTATAACATTACAACGAATATTGCTTTCTCAATTCTAAACAAATGGGCTCGTAAATATGAAACAATTGACGTTCGATAAGAAAGACCCAAACGTTCCGTTCAAGCAAAACATTTTACCACTTCAATGCGCTTCATTGCATTTAACTTTTCTTGACGATACATATTGCATGTATATGTATATGTAATATATATGTAAATTGAGGTCCACTATGATTCATTCTTATAAATGAAACCGTAACCAATGTGACGAAACTACAGGGCACATTGTGAATCACTGCTATATATGCAGTTTGTTATGTTCTAGAGAATGCACTGTCCTCTACAAAAATTTAGAATTAAAATGTTGACTGACATTTATACTAAATTGACTACGGAATATTCCGTCTACCTGATCAATACATAGGGCTGACAGATTTGAATTTTTTAACATTTATTTACTTTTTTTTTCATTATTATTATTACTTCATTTTTTTTTTTTTAGATCGATCACTGTTTGTTATCTTCTCCTTTTTCATATGCATATGTCATTACAAACTTATATAATATTATGTCAAAATAGCGAAAATATTTTCAAACAATGTGCAAAAAAATGAATTGCCTTTGTCAATCAGTTTTTAAAATATTTAAAAAGATTTTCTAGGACAATCCTCGAACATATAACAATCGACCACTAACGGGCTTTATTTCCATTATACGTACTCATTGATTGCAATGATGTAGAGAAGATGTGGAGCCAACAGTTTAAACATGGGGTGTGAAGGCAACAGACATCTATTGGCTGCTATGCATATGGCTTCCAATAATACATGTGTGCAGCCTTAAAATAAACTTAATATTAATACTGATATACATTCATAGATATACTGAATGGATTCGCACTTCTGTAGACTCTATATGTATGCCTTGACTTATTTTAAAAGAAAAAAAAATATAATTGACTCATACCACTGTGACATGAATTAATCACAGCGGTTTTTGTTGTTTTGTAAAATCAATGAGATATATTCAATCTAATAATCTTTTCTGTATAAAAATGAAAAGTTTTAAAACTCAAAGGACTTCGCACATCTTTACCTAGATGGGCCAAGGCTTGGTGATAATTTGAGTCACGTACGTTGTACCACATTTTGGCCATCAACCATGTATAAGGTGGCTCACTGGGAAGAAACACCTGAAATTTAGTTCAATCTAAAAGATAGTATTTCAGTATTATATTCCATTAACTATTTTACACTTACAATTCCTCTTAAAAATGAGTTATGTATAAAGAAGAAGTCTTACAGGATTGTCAGGTCCCTTATGTTGAAAGAGTTGTATCGCTACTGGCATAAGTTGACCTCTACCATCCACAAAGAAGAGAGCAATGGGTACTGGACACTACTCGAGTCACGATAAAAAGCGAACATACAAGATTTTATTCTTTAACCTTTTACCAATCGCTATTAGAGTGTGTTTTCAATCGAATCTTTTTTAAAGAATAAGTTTAAATATTTAGTATTATCAATTATGATTAATTATTTATAGGAATTCATATTTTGATTACTTTTGCGCGTTGTTGTGGCATTAATTTAAGGAAAACAGCAAAAAATAGTTTTATTGAATATATGCATAGTAGACATTTTAAGACTTTTCCCCTTACAGTTGACCCCTTCCAGCACCCAACCCTTCGGTTTTAATTTAGTTTCGTGCCTACACATAAATTTTGGTCAAGCTACCCCACTGATTGTGCAAAATGGACCACCAACTACAACTTTGCTTAATATTGAATACCCAAATTTAACAAGAAACAAAGGATGAAGACCTATGGGGACAGATATTTAATTTGATTTGAAAATTTGAATCCTTAAACGCTTGTTATTCTTCTAAAAAGGAAAAGTACTTTCTATGAATTCACCACTCATTAACATTCATTTTCTTTTTTGGAAGTAGTTCACACATGTTGCAATATTTTAACTTACAACATAGCCCTCGACAAGAGAAATTCCATCCAATATTTCAAGATCAATGATGAACAAACGTTTGTCGTTGATAGCTTGGCATAAAGTCAGGCCCTCTAAGAAAGGTTTTATCATTTCCTCAGTCACCCCAAATCTTCATGGAATTGAGAAAACAAGCATATAGAGCATTTTTTTTTTTTTTTTTAAAAAAAGATTGTTTTGTCTATATCGTAAATTTCTACCAAATAGAGATTATTAGTGTAGTTAAGCAGATCAATTAAAACCAACGCCTTACTTGTATGGTATATGTGTACAGAACCGAATCAGATTTGAATTGATACCATTTACCCGTTGCTAACCAAAGCTTATATCACTGCCCCAATTCTTCATCCCCTGCTTAACATAACATGTACATTTAATTTGACATAAGTTAGAATCTATTTGTAGACAGTTGGAAGTTTTATGAGGCAAATTTTCCTTTCGCTGTGTTTGTTGCTATCTTTGGGTTTAGCGAGTGTTGTTTTTCTTGTGTGTGTAATGTTTTTGATAGATAACAGATTAGAAAACAAAAAATATTACAATAAGATAAAATACCAGCATTTATGTTTTACCTTTGGCTCTTCAAATATTTTTGAGTAGACACCTTTCAAGTCCTCTAAAGTTTTCCACGATCCATCCCAAAAAATCATTTCCCACGCCTTACCGGCCTTCAGAGTGGTTCTTAATTTCAGCAGATCAAACTGTGATAATACAGGCATTACTCTTTATTTGTGTCACTGACTGTGCGATACCTTTTGACCAGACAAAAAAAAAAAGAAAGTTGTTTCAAATCAATTCTGCAAGTGGTAAATACATGTACAGTCAGCAAGGATGGTCAGCAATACCCCTCATAGCGGTATTTATTTTGTGGCAGAAACCAAATTTAGTAAAGCTCTTGATCAATATTGTTTAGGTTGAAATCCGTATCTCAGAACCATAAAAATGATGGATTCAGTATGCGTAGAATATAGTTTTAGGAGAGTGTTTGCAGATAAACATTAAGAAAAAGGCAAATAATGTTTTCATCGTCTTAAAATTTAGTATTGAATGGTCAGCTAGAGCTAAAATTAATTTATCCAGGACGGGTGATGCATTCACCGCTAGCTTTATAGCAGATCATAATCATAATTTGCAATTTTTGTTACATGCTCTACTGGTGCCTCAGACTGTGCGGCTGCACAGTCTCGTGGCGGTTATTGGGCTTACCATCTTCGAACTTTTTTAAAAAAATTAACAAACATTTTCAAGCATGGACTAGTCAAAAATAGTGGACATCTGTTCCCAGGGTTCACTTCCATTTTTAGGGATGCCATTTGATGCCTCAGTTCCTTCATTTAAGTGGCCATGGCCCATTTAGCCATATAAAATGTATTATTTTTGTTATTCTGTTATTGAATACAGTATTTATGGTACATTAGCAATTCCTGTGTTTTAAAGGTGATTCTTCTTTGATAAATATGTCAATCAGGCTTCTCTAAATAATTTATCGTTTAAATAAAAGCCGTGTACTAAAATTCCGTGCCTTGAATAAGACAAGTATATTTAATAGTTTAATAAATCGGGTCACAGAGTACATATTTATCTAAAAAATCATTAGGCTTCTATATATGTTGTGTTACAACTTCCATATAAGCCTTATAATTCTATTCATTAGACACCCAAACGGAACATTTAATGATAATTGAGGGGGTAAGTGTATCTTGATTTATCACATATATTGCAGGTAGACTTCCATGATTTTATTTCTAATGAAATATTCACATTTAAAAAAGAAGCGAAAGCATTTGAACTCATAGAAACAAATTCCATCCGATCTCTTGATTAGAAAATTTCAATGTGAATATACGAACCATATAATCCTGTAGTTATTTTCAAAATTCTATTTTAGCAAAAGAGGACACGTCCTTTAGTCCCATCACCATAAAAGCAAATCCAGTTTAGCTCTTGAACAGACCACTGATGGAGCAGAAGAAATGAAAGGTTGATGGAACCATGAAAGTTTTAACTGCTCTCTCTCTCTCTCTCTGATTTCATGCTTGAAATTTTGCTTTGCACCAAAGGAATTAAAGTATACATGCACACAATTGAAAATCAATTGCTCTAGAATGAACATCAGAAATATCAAGTGATCTTCATTGGTATGGTGAACAAGTATTATGCAGCAGTGGTGTCTTGGGATTTGAAGATTTTTATTTGGCTTTGGTTTGTGTCTTATGTGGTTAAAATAATATCTGGATTTCACAATTATTTACGCCTCAAAATTATTTACGCATGAGCTTTCTGTCAAGATTACGAATTCCACGCAATCTGATACATGGTAGATAAATTTCATAAATCTTATTATTAAAAAAGTAACTGGGGGTTCTTTATTGATCTTGTAACGGCGATGCGTAGTAATGTATCTTAGATGAATGCAAAAATGCAATCTTATGACAGTTTTCACGAAAAACATTTATCTACACAAGTCCGCAAAGCCGGTTAGAGTTTTCACGCTTTCGATTGACAGCGACTACGGTTTCTGGTCACGTGATGACTAAGAGTTCAACTCACAAAACAGTTACTTTTCAAAGACTGCAACAATGACTTTGTTTTATATTCTTCACAACAGAAAGAAAAGTTTTGTATCGTTTTTAATTCAACAATAAGCATGTGCCTTTTTTAGTCACATCTTTGGAATTTCTATATCTTAATTCGTACGAAATATGCATTCTTAATCATTGTAAAGAATAAGTTTTCATGCTATTTTGATCCTACAAAATTAACACAGTCACAACTCTGATTTATGCAGACAAGACATGAGTTTCAAGAACAGAAAAGATATTAAGATTCACATATTTGAGGTAAAAATTTATTGACTAAAACACTTTATCAATATGTATTCCCTTGGAATACGAGCGATTTATTTGATCAAGCATAAGGTTCACAGGTTGCATTTGCAGTACAATGCATGTACATGCATGTGCAGATGCATGAAGCGAGCTGGTTCACGTGTCTTTATTGCCTGAAACAAGCAGAAATATTAGCTCACCACCACCCTCCAGAAATCTCCAATTTATACTTATCTCTCAAATGCTTAGCAGTTATCTTGTGAAATTTGCATAAGGTAACTCTGGATGTACTCAAATGATCTCCCTTTGAACGACGTAAGTACAACGTTCATTGGAATAAAGCTAATGTAAATGTAAGGAGTCGGTGATGAGATGGCGAGAGTTCATCTTGAAAAACACACAAAGTACTGTTCAAAGACTACAAAATTTTCCTAATATTAGGCTCTTCAAAACAAGCACGATATTAAGCCCTTCAAAACGTCAAGCTCGATTTCGTTAAATGTTACAGATATTTACTGCTAATGCATTTCAAATTTTACAAATTCACGTAGTATATTGCCAGGAAAGATAAACCAAAAAAAAAAAAAAAAAAAAAAAAAAAAAAATCAGAATACACTTTACGTTAAACTTAGTCAGAAATGTTATTTTCAGAAATAAATGGCATCAAAATCGACTGAATAATGAAATAGAAGTTTATGTCTATTGTGAATTTTTGAGGCGAATTGAATTCTCTCTCTCTCTCACTGATTTCATGCTTGAAATTTTGCTTTGCACCAAAGGAATTAAAGTATACATGCACACAATTGAAAATCAATTGCTCTAGAATGAACATCAGAAATATCAAGTGATCTTCATTGGTATGGTGAACAAGTATTATGCAGCAGTGGTGTCTTGGGATTTGAAGATTTTTATTTGGCTTTGGTTTGTGTCTTATGTGGTTAAAATAATATCTGGATTTCACAATTATTTACGCCTCAAAATTATTTACGCATGAGCTTTCTGTCAAGATTACGAATTCCACGCAATCTGATACATGGTAGATAAATTTCATAAATTTTATTATTAAAAAAGTAACTGGGGGTTCTTTATTGATCTTGTAATGGCGATGCGTAGTAATGTATCTTAGATGAATGCAAAAATGCAATCTTATGACAGTTTTCACGAAAAACATTTATCTACACAAGTCCGCAAAGCCGGTTAGAGTTTTCACGCTTTCGATTGACAGCGACTACGGTTTCTGGTCACGTGATGACTAGAGTTCAACTCACAAAACAGTTACTTTTCAAAGACTGCAACAATGACTTTGTTTTATATTCTTCACAACAGAAAGAAAAGTTTTGTATCGTTTTTAATTCAACAATAAGCATGTGCCTTTTTTAGTCACATCTTTGGAATTTCTATATCTTAATTCGTACGAAAAATGCATTCTTAATCATTGTAAAGAATAAGTTTTTATGCTATTTTGATCCTACAAAATTAACACAGTCACAACTCTGATTTATGCAGACAAGACATGAGTTTCAAGAACAGAAAAGATATTAAGCTTCACTAATTTGAGGCAAAAATTTATTTACTAAAACACTATCTCAATATGTATTCCCTTGGAATACGAGCGATTTATTTGATCAAGCATAAGGTTCACAGGTTGCATTTGCAGTACAATGCATGTACATGCATGTGCAGTTACATGAAGCAAGCTGGTTCACGTGTCTTTATTGCCTGAAAGAAGCAGAAATATTAACCTACCACCACCCTCCAGAAATCTCCAATTTATACTTATTTCTCAAATGCTTAGCAGTTATCTTGTGAAATTTGCATAAGGTAACTCTGGATGTACTCAAATGATCTCCCTTTGAACGACGTAAGTACAACGTTCATTGGAATAAAGCTGATATAAATGTAAGGAGTCGGTGACGAGATGGCGAGAGTTCATCTTGAAAAACACACAAAGTACTATTCAAAGACTACAAAATTTTCCTAATATTAGACCCTTCAAAACAAGTACGATATTAAGCCCTTCAAAACAAGCTCGATTTCGTTAAATGTTACAGAGATTTACTGCTAATGCATTTCAAATTTTACAAATTCACGTTGTATATTGTCAGGAAAGATAAAAAAAAAAATTCATAATACACTTTACGTTAAACTTAGTCAGAAATGATATTTTCAGAAATAAATGGCATCAGAATCGACCGAATAATAAAATAGAAGTTTATGTCTATTGTAAAATTTTGAGGCGAATTGAATTCTCTCTCTCTCTCTCTCCGTGTACTGAGGTAAAATGATAAGTTATGTAAAATGTTTTCTATATTATTGATTTGAGCATATAGGGTAAATTGTTAAGAAAAGTAAAAGAAACATGAATCACCCAAGAAACTTTATGATTACATGTATATCTAAAGCTCATGTATATGTATATTACATGTATATCTAAAGCTCATGAATCTAGTTGATAGATTTCTGGATAGGAAATTAATGATACTTGTAAAACTTACAACGAAAAAAAATAAAAGAATGATGAACTTTATCGGTGGTGAATGTGGTTTGATAATCAGCAGAAAAATATCAATATTGATCGAGGCGAAGCCGAGGTCAATATTGATATTTTTCTGGTGAAGAACAAACTGTATTCACCACCGAAAGAGTCATATTACTATGTTTCTTATTATGTTTCTTCCGAAAAAAGGCATGCTTAACAAATGGTATTAAACCAATTTACAGGCACAAAAAATATCACAGAATGAATAAAAATAAAGAATACATATTTACAACCATAGCTGAGACTATCACAAAAATAAACTAGATGCTGTCATGAGACAGTAATACCCGCACTAATGTGTTTGCCTCTAAATGCAGGCACATAGCGTCAGGGG